AATTTTCTGTTATTCACTTGAATTCGCTCTTTTTGCTTGCCCACCGTCTTATCTGTCTCTCAGATTAAAACCACGATTGACTTTTAGCTACAGCCACTCTTTTGTGATTGCTTCACCTGTAATAAGAGGCATAAGTAAAGAGAAATGGCTTTTACCCGAATCCAACTCATCTCTCTCTCATTTTGTGTTAAAAAGCTGTCTTTTCTATTCTTTAATCTTCGGTCGGTGCATTAAGGAGCCATGTTTATCAAAAAGCCCACACTGACAAACGCAGCCGCTGTCCATATTTAGTAACAGACTTTTGTGTTTCAGTAAAATTTCTGGGAGCTTATTAAACCCAAAGCGTACTCCTCTTATCAGCCTTAAAACACAAGGATTCAGCATTACACTTATGTCATGTGTTACATTTAGAGATCTGGGTCTCTGCTGTTTTTGTTCCCACCACTCACCAACACACACTGGATTAAAGTGAGAATATTACCTATTAGTTTCTCATTCAAATAACATCATAAAACTGTAACTAAACTATTTTTTTTATTATTTTGATTTCATCAGTCTCTTATATTAGCAAGCCTCCCTGAGTTTTTGCAGTGAATTTTGCAGGATTTCCTTTTGGGATTTCAGGATTTCAGTCATCATTTTGGGAATAAATATCTTTCGAAGTGAAATCCATTGCAGTGCTAACACAGACAGGTCGACTTCAATTCACACTGTCATTCATATCTATGGCCGAGTCACCACCTAACCTAACAGGCATTTCTTTGGACAGTTGGAGGAAACTCATCTCACCTCTAGTACATTTTTGATACCACAACATCAAAAGTAGGAGGGAGACCCAAAAAAGACAATATTCTGCTGACAGTTTTTAAACGTTTCTTTCCCAAATCAGCTTTTCTGTATTGGAGTTCACTAATAAAAATTATCTAGCTTCAAGTAGAACAGATTGAAACTGCTCCCAACAGAAAAAGTGGGGTTTTTTTGTTGTTGTTGTGGATTTAAACCCACCTCCTTCCTTCCAAAAAGCAAGTTTTTTTTCCAGTTCATGTTTTTTTGCTAAATTGTGTTGTGTTCTTTTGTGGCAGCGATACCAGGGACACAAACTAAAGGCAACCATGGAAAAATTACGTTACCTTTGCTGTCATGGTGGGGGGATTTCCCTGAGCGCTTGTGATAAAAAAGCTTGTTTACTGACATGCCTGGTGGAGAAATCACAAGCTTTGCTTGTTGTGAGCTTCTTGTGCTCTCACAGCTTTACACCTGAGCTGCAGCTGACATTTGAGTGGCAGCGTTAGCGCTTTGTCAGAAAAGCTGTGGAATTTATTTAAAGTCCGAAGTTCTGAGTTAGGTAAAAAGTATATATGTAACAGGCAGGGAGGTCGGTGGCTGCAGTCATTGAATATATGAATATCTGGAAACCTATTACAAAGACAAACAGCTAGAGAGAAAAAATGTGTACATGAAATAGAAAGCTTGATGGTATTACCCGCTGATAACAACGACAAAGAGTGAATGCAAATAGGCAAATAAAGAGAGAGGGAAATAGTTTGAGGTAAAGTCCTCTCGAGGGATACAAAGACCGCAACTGCATGTCTGGAATAAATCTCTTTAATCTTCAAACTCTAAGCGTATTGTAAATATTATTTACAATAGTCACATATTACATACGGTAAATATTATAGATGTTGCGCATGTCAGCATCTGGATGTGCTGCGTCATGCTGGGCATCATGATTAGCTAGCGTGACTTTAACCAAAAAAGACAACCAGGACTGAGCCGCATCATTTTCCATCTAAATATCAATCTGACGTCAAAAGCAACACCAAATGCCAAAATGCATCAATTAGTGCTGAGAAGCAGTCCGAAATATCCCAGCACTTAAATTTGTAACAATCTACTGGCTCGTCAAAAATTCGATTAGAGAAAATTGCGAGCTACTAGACTGTGGCTATTAGAGATCAAATGAGTAGGAGATTTCTTTGTGTCCCAGCGCTTATTGAGTTTGCAGTTTGGCAAAGACAAATACCCAATAAAGAAAAATCAATATCAAAGAGACGAAAATAATCGAATAAATCTTTGCCCTTACTTGAGTCATAATTGATTCGAGGGCATCTGTAGCCTTTGTGTGAGCTTTATTAAATACGCTCATGTAAATGTACTCTTTTTTTTTTTTTATGGAAATGACAGAGGACAAAAAGGAAATTAAACAAATTAGCATCAGAAATGATGATAAATTCGATATTATCCTTCATACTTGAGGGACGAGTGAGATAAGTTCATTCATAAATGGCATTTGAAGATGCTCCTCATAGAGACATGACCATTGTGGTGACTATGCTCCAGCTCTCAGAGGGCTCTCCGTTTCTCTGCAAATGGCTCAACCATGTGACCAGACAGCAGATCTCCACTTATGCAGCCTGACAGCATCCTGACAAAACATTAGTCCTGCATGAGAATTCACAGATTAAGCTGTTAGTCAGCGTAATGGGACTCTCAGAGTCCGCCGGTATCGCCTCTTATTATTATTGTGAATTGTGTCCATGCAATGAAAAAACAAACAGCAATCATGGGTGACTTTACTGGTGTGTTTCTGCTGAAACTGTTAACATGCTAAATAAAGTGAAGAGTCCTTTGAAATCAATTTTCTAGCTTTTGTTTCTGTACTTGAAGGTGGTTGAATTAAAATTTTGCTTTTTCTCCCCCTCTTTTCTTTTAGAGTGGGATTTGTTTGGATTATTGTCAATTTCTTTTACCATATTTAGCATTTTTTGTTAAACCATATTCGAAAACATCTCTTATCAAGTAGTGGGTGCTGACAGACAGCCTATTTTCCAACTCTTTTGGGACATTGGTATATAGATTTCTTTCTGTAATCTAAGCGATCCATATAAACACAACATTTGTTCAACGGCTCTATGCTTCAAAGTTTTATTTGTGAAATGGTCTCGAGTATAGGTCAGGTCACGCTGCTTCTTGGCGATTTTCTGCTTTGCCGTTCAGCAATACCCTGGAGTAAATCTTGTGGAAAGACCGAATCCCTTCCACCCAGACTATAAATGAACATGAGTCCATGTGCCTATACGATTACTTCAAGTCAGCTTTAGTCAGTGTATTCATTCAGGATTCTCTGGAGGATTTAGCTCGTGCCGTTCGCTTCAAAAATTGTCTGAAAAGTTGTGTGGTGACAGATGAGGAATGTGGAAGATGTTGATTTAATGAGCCTGATGTTGTGTGTGTGTGTGTGTTTACTTACGCATCCATGAAGGTGTGTTTGGCAAATTGGGAAATTGATTTATGGTAAAATAAGACTCGAGCATCTGAGCATGATGCGTAAATGCAGTCACAGAAGAGGTATTCAGTCACATGACCGCTCTTATGCTGTAGAAACAACCTCCTGCTGCACATTCTTTCATTAGCAGCTCACTGCCTGATATCATTTGGTTATAAGCGGCTTTGTTTATATGCACAGAGCAGCTTGTCTGTCGGTCACATTAAAATTAAGGTCTTTTAGTGGTTAAGCTGTTTACATGAACAGTTGATGCCCCATGAATGAATAAACCATGAACAAATTTCACAAATAAACCAAATGACAGAGTTTCTGCTGCAGAGTGAGAGAAATAGTAACTAAACATCCTTAAAATAACGTGGCTCAATATTTTTTGTGACCATCTAAAGAAGTCTCTATAGGAAATCCACAAAAAAGAAGAAAAAATAAACTCAATCAGAAATATTAGAAGTGAAAGTTCAGTTCCATACAAATCAATAGAAATCAGGTTATGGAAAGCAGATAATATCGGTCACAGATTTGTGTGATTCTCTTTTATTGCATACTTCATTTCAAAGTCAGGAGGTTTAAAAAACAAAAGAAAAGCTATAATGAAAAAAAAAGAAATAGAAACGAACAGAAAACTCAAAATATCACCCTGTGACAGACTGCGACCTGGCCAGTGTGTACCCTGCTTTTCGCTCTATGGTAGCTGGGATTTCTCAAGAAATTGTGTTTTTTCTAGGAGTGATTTATACCAGTTTTGAAAGAAAGTCTCACACCATCCAGTCAACGCTCTCTGTCAATATATTATGGAATTATGTTGTAATTAAATTAATCTGGTGAGGTGCAAAATGTTGAGACGTGCAGTATGAATCACTCAGAAGGTTCCAGCAGAATCATTCATTTATTGTTTTTTGCCTACGTATATCATCTTACAATAGAGCCAACCTGATATATCAGCATGGTCAATATCGGGCAATATATCAGTACCAGCATTTACAACAGAATTAAAAACATCAAGAAGAAATAGAAACATCCTTCAACCATATTATGAGTCCTGAGTGCTGTTTCATAGTTTACCCACCAGAGGGCACTCTGCAACCTTACTGTCACCAACACCAACAACCAGCTGATTTTAGCTGACAGATGGTACACAAGTAATATATACAATTTGTAACAATTTTTTGCAAAAAGATTATTATTATTATTAAAATGTAATCTGATATTATTATAACTCATAATTAACAAATCAGGAAAATCTGAAAGAAAACATAACCCTCAATCTATATATAATATCTATAGTAGACCTATCATGATTAACATTTTTAATTATTTTTATTCATATTATCATCAGATGTTAAACAATAGGCTGTTAGAGTAAATTTTAAGCAGTATGTTGTGGGCATGGTAGTATTATCTGGTGCATGCATTCTTGCCTGGATCATTATGTGGGGTTAGATGAATGGCAAGATACGGATCAGTCAATATCTGTAACAGCAGAGTGCCTTTCTGCAGGCTCAGGTAAAGTACAAGTCAATAGCGGCTCACATTAGCAGGAAAGACTTTTTGTGGCACTTTGCAGAGTTTGGTTTTTTTGCCGTTGTTTGCTGTTTGCAGTGACCTGTTGGGTCACTGACAATGTCACAACGTGTCCAATTTGAACCTAATGGGTGGCAGGCAGAGGAAATGTAACGCTTGGGTGGCTGTGACCTCTTTGGTTCTTCTCCGTCTCCAGGTAACCTTTCGAAAACCTGCACAGAAGATGGCTGGACCGAGATGCATCCTATTGACATTGCTGTGAGCTGTGGATACAATCTCAACAGCACTAGCGATGATGTGAGTAGACTGACACAGTCTCATAGTGAATGACCAGAGCTGCACAGCGGGAAATGGTGTCCAGAGCCAGCGGTCAGGAAGAATTGAATGAGAAGCTCTTTTCTTTGCTCTGTGGGTGGGTGTTATTGGCTGTATTGGGGAAATTACTGTATTGATTGGTTGCCACTGTGTACCTCATATACGCTTTTGTTCACTCCTATGTATTGAGTTGTCTCAAGTGACTGAGTCTACAGAATATATAGAATGAAGCTGTCAAAGAATACTGTTTATATTTTCATGTACAGGCTTTTTATTATTGTTGGACTAAATGTCAATATAATATAGAAATGTACAGAAATGTCAGGAAACAGCAAGATGAGGAAATTAATGAACAGCTGTTTGTTAGACTGCATTTTAAGAAATTTTCTTATAAAGCAAAAGTTAGCAGGAACACAGCAACATGCCCAACTAACTTAACAGCTTAATGCAGTATGTTTCTTAGTATACCGGTAGCTTGTCAATATACAGAGGAAGGTGCATTAAATTCACTGATTCATAACTGTGAAGTGCTGAGTTAGAACCCGAGATACTTTGACTAGTTCAATATAAAGTGTGGAAGTAGATAACCCGCTAGTCTTTACAACGCTAAAGATAGCATTACTTAGCATTACTGCATTGCTAAAGCGTACTTATTTCTACATACTGTATTTACATAGTCGCTAACTTAAAATTGTAATCTGATGCATGCAGGTTACGCAGTTCTGCAAAAAAAGTTTTCCAGCTGCATGGGATAATTTTGGGTAAATTTGATGTTTTTTAGGTACTGAATCTAAAAATGATCTCCATTTCCCTCACAGTTTTTCTTTTTTACAAAACATGAGGAGTTTACATTTTAAAAAAAAAAGCACAACAGTGATGAAAAAAAAAATATTTTATTACAATTAACTATGCATAATTTTTCTGAGATTCCTTACCTTTTGTTATGAATACAATTAACCTGTTGGGACATGATCATCAGAGCTCCTCACACCACCAAACCCACCGTACACTCCCCCTCCTACTGACCCCCTCAATCCCTCGCATTTTCTATTTGTATTTCTCTTGAGTCTCGCTCTTAGAAACATTCAATTCATGTGAGAAATCATTAGTGGATACGATTTTTTGACTCAAGTATAGGATACCAGATTTCAGTTTAAAAGGGGAAATGAAACTAAAAACATGAGTTTTGCAAGAAAACCTGATGTGATGGAATTTTTAAAACGTTTTTCCCGGTTTCAGTAAAAATCCTAAGCAGTTTTTTGGTTGCAGACCTGTGCTATTTAAGAGGAATACATGTTTGTGTACAGATTCAACAAAGAGTAACAATGTGTTCTGATAAATGTATATTTTAACTGTAAAGATAACCAGAGTAGCTGTACCCTGTGCTAGTCATACATTGGGAGAAAGATGGGATTAGAAAGTAAATCTATGGTTATAAGGTAATTTGGTTTGATGCTGTAACAAAAACATTCGTACTGTAATTAAAATACGAATGTCTTTGAAACACACTTGACATAATTGACACAGACAGGTCAGTAATAACTCCCGCCTCCGTTATCAGGCATTATGAGTCATTAGAAGTTATTCAGAATCCTTCCAGGAGTAGGACCAGAATAAATAAATCAAATGCTGCTCTTATTTAGTTCAGTTTTACTGCAGCCAGAGCTAATCTTGTCCGTGTTGACGAAGGTGGAGCAGAGTGAAGAGTGGATGTGCACTGCAGGGTGGTAAAAGCTTTCTTGGTGGGCACTTTGCTCTCTGAGTCAAAGAGGCGGCCTCATTAGTATGCCACATAGGAAGTCAGGAGGGACCTGGCCCGGTGAAGTACTCTAAAAGGAATTTGATGTCCATCTTACTGCAAACATGATATGTGTGAGTGTGCCAGAGGATGCAGGAGATCTTTAATTTCCATCAAGCGCACAACATACAGTGGCATGGCAGTAACATAGCGAAGCTTCTCTGAAAGGATCCAGAAATTCAGGATGCTGTTACAGTATATCGCATGACTGGACTGATCCAGTATTTGGTAAGAGAGAGACACAAATCCGTGGTTCAAGAGCTCTTCAGTTACAACACTTAAAAATGACAGGAGTGGAGCCTAAATGCTTAACAACAATAATAAAAGACATCTCTAAGCCAAAAATTGAAACAAATCAATGTTTTGAATGGTTAAATCAACTAACACAAGTGATGTCACTGTTTGAGTGTGTAAACACGCACCGGCTGTTTCCTTTTCTTTGATTTGTTCTCTGTTTTTATGTTTCTTTGTGCAGGGAAAGTTTTTTTGGCAAGTGAAGATCGGCTACACCATCGGCCACAGCGTCTCGCTCGTCTCGCTTTCTACCGCTATTGTGATCCTCTGCATCTTCAGGTATGTAGATGCACAATAGCTCAGCTGTTTTATATTAAGTACTTATGTGCTATTTAATTGCACTCACTGTGAATTTCATTCCATCTGGATTAACTTATTTTTATGTGGTCCGCTGTTTAGAAAAACGATGACCGGAACAAAAAGTGAGACTTTTGTGAAGAACATCAGTACGTGCTATTATCTACAAAGCACGCTGACAGTGGCATTATCCCTGCCGGCTGATGTGACATGAACATTGTGACAAATTGCACATTTCTGTGTCACGCGTCAAACACTTTTCACTGGAATTTGATCGTCTCTGATCACTGCAGCTTCACACCCGAGTATAATAGCAGGCTTAAACCAAGATGAAAGATACAAATAGCTTCCAAATGAAATAAACTGTCACTCAAACTCTGCTATCTTTTGATGGCGCATGCAGCACTTTGAAGGTTAGACGTTTGAAGTATTGCGGGATAAAAAAAGGACCGGCATTTTTGCTTGATAAGCCAGGGAACGATTGTAACCTCCTCAAGTGCAATTACAGTTCTGAGGAAGAACAAGAAGCCAGCTTTAAATTGCAACATCTTCACCCTAAAAGATAATGAATGGACATTTCAAGAGTGACTCGCATAATACCGCACATTACTTTTTTTGGAAAAACTGCTGTATGCAATTTGTCTGCCTGAGTAAGACGCAAAGTGAACTTTTCTCGCTGAATGCTGCAAAGAAATAACTTTTGTGTACAAAGACTGTATGTGTAAATGGGTGGGCCACATTCGAGCACTTCTTCTTCCTGTGTGCTACACCCCCTCCAAACACTGTAAAAACTCTATACTCTATATACTGTGCAGCTGCAAAAATTCACACCTAAGTGCATGAGCTGTGAAATGATGTGTGCTGATTTTCATTTCTTACATGGAAGCTGCTTTCTCTCAGTGTACTGCCATCCATTTCTCTTCATGGCCGCAGTGGTGGAGTAACATTTATTCTGAATTTTATTTTTGGTCACATTTTTCTTTTTGAGTCTTTTGCCGATCATGTCACCGGAAAGTGCCTTATTGAATTAGTTGCTGATAAGAGGCACTTTTCATGCTTTCTGCAAAGACAAGCAATAGGTGTCAAAGTGTGTCCACCTGAGAGTTTTGCTCACCGTCACGCACCCAAAGTCACAAGGCCGGCCATGGTCAGGGAGATAAAAGGTGTGAAGGTGTGAAATCAAAACAACCCACAGATTTGAGCCAGAAAGAGCGTTATGACCGTCGGGTATTATGAGCAGTATTAGTGCTATATGGTTCACTACACGCATTTCTAAAAGGCAACATATGGAGGAACCCCAACACATTAAAAGTAGATTGGATGAACAGTTGTTGAGCTCATACAGACATTAAAAGTCAGGTTTACAGTTTCTAGAGTCAGATGTGAGACCATCTGTCTGACACTAAAGGCTGACCGAAACTGAATAAAGAAGAACTAGAAGAAAGTAGAAGTAGAAGAAAAATAGGGATTTAAATGAAATAGCAGTTGCTGTTTGATGTGAGTATAAAATCTGGATAACATTGGTATCATGGCAATTTACTCTCCTGGGAATGAGGTACGGTTAAATGAAACTGTTATGATGTCCAAGGGAACATTAACTGACTGGGCACGTGCTGTACTCCAGGCGAATATTTACCTGCCCAGACAACAACCATTTCTGACTTAAAAAAGTGATCGAAGCTATTAGGAACCTGTTTTCCCCAATTACCTCTAAAGTATTGATAATGTAGTCAGCAGAAGAAGTGTTAAAAGAACTGATGTTTTAGGACTACTTGTTTCTACTACTGTAACTTCTTGGAAATCCACCTCTCCTGCCTATTTTCAAAGGTGTGTGAAGAACCATAAAAACCATTTATTGTGCTCTAAAACTGATCCACCCACACAGTGAAAGGGAACTAAGAAACTTAATTATGATTTAACTGTCTGTGAATTGCTGTCATTTTAAGCTATTAACTCTGAGGACATTGTGTAATTAGCATGCAGGGCCTCTTTATTGAATTCTCCGCGTGTCTTGTCGCTTTGTCTTGATCTGTTTTCTTGTATCTCTCATTCTGTGTGTCCTAGGAAACTCCACTGCACAAGGAACTACATCCACATGCATCTATTTGTTTCATTTATCCTGAAGGCCATCGCTGTCTTCATCAAAGATGTGGTTCTCTACGAGGTCGGGGAGGTGGACAACTGCTCCTCGGGCTCTGTGAGTTAATGCTGCTTGTTAATGACTGCTCTCCTAGAACTTCAGATAACTCAGCAAGACTTCAATACAGTCAGTATTACAGTACATTCAGTACAGTATTAGTACAGTATTGTAGCATCACTGATCATTATTGATAATTACTGACATTTTAAGTTCTCATATCATAGCTGATGAATAACTTAAAAGTTTTGAAAACGGCTTGTGTCAATTTTCAGTTTCAATCTCACAACAAAAGCCACATATTAGCCAAGTATGTTAATATTAAAATAGTAATAAAAACATGGACTTACAGCCCACAGTCTTTGATTGTTGTCCTTTGGCTTTCAACCATCACCCCTTCACAATGAGCCACAGTCCAAAGCCCCGTCAGGTGTGTGGCCAATAAACATGAGGTTCATGTTACAGAATTTAGCCACACAATGAGCAGAGGCTCACTCTATTTGTTAGTGAGCTTTGTGGTCGGCTGCACTACGTTAATGGACTCGCTGGGTTGACGGGAGCCAGCTGCTATCATGGCACATTTGAAAGAGACATTATAGAGACGGGTCTGGTGCTGCGGTGCTCATCGTGACCCCAACATTAGTTCCATTACAGCTGTTAGCATTGCTTCTGCTGTGTTTATCTGTATGTGTGCAGGTGTTCTGCATGCTCCATTCATTATCTCTTCTCATACAGCTGGATGTTTGCCATAGTTAAACACCCGATTAATTCAAAGCATATTTAAAAAATGCATTTTTTTAAGGTACGAGCATGGATCTGTGTCTGAGCTTCCTGTTATTCCCTGTTTTTCCAGTGGCATAATATCTCACAATTTATCCTCCTTTAGCGACTAACGGCAGGCTTTTTAAAACTCAGCTCCAGCAATCAATTTGTACTGATTTGCACATATTAAACTAAGCAGCAAGGCTTAGGCAGCCCATCTGGGTCCGTTTTCTTCCCCCTCAACATGCCAAGTGGGAATCAATTTATATGGGTTACAAAATTCCTGTCAGCCCAGTAACAGCTGCTTCAATGAGCTGTCCCAAACTTTAACTCCATGCACAAGGACTAAAACAGAACAAGACATTTCTGGATTATGTGAATATTTTCAATACAGCGCATGTTTTTGGAGAAGCTAGAAGCAAGACATTTCATACATAAAGACTTCTGTCTACTCAGACGGGTTGCTCGTTTTGTCTATATTCTGCCTGTGTAGAACATAGACTGCATACAAAAGATTGCCAAGGCCACTGAAAACAGAAAAAAAGAAATCACTCACCCATACTGGAGACTTTTTAGACAGGCTGCAACATATTTTTGGTATTAAAAGTGCTGCAAACAAAGTCAAGAGACCCAGTTCTTGGATTTAAATTAACTGAGTTGATGACTAGCAGAGAGCCACCAGCACAATGTCAGCCTCGAATGCTAGTTTCTTTAAGTCTCCTAGTCATTAAAAATCCTCACGTTCAAGCCAGATTCAGATATTATCAGATAGCCATAGATTATCATGTTTATTTAGCTTTCAAAACCTATTTCCCATCGAAAAAAAATTTTTTTAAATTCAACATCTAAACAATATATCCATCTAAAATGTACTACAGTAGAAAGTGGCTATAACAGAAAGCATGTCGTGATTGCATTTTGCATTTTAGATTTTTAAGAGGTAGGTTCTGTCCAACTACACATCATTATTTGTTTGTTCTTCTTTCAACTCTATTGTCGTGACAAAGACCTGACAGCTTTTTCTGATTTTCTTTTCTTTATTGTGACTTTATTGTCTTCTTTACTGTCCACTTTTCTCTACCCATAATGCCCTTCAGCCCAGCCCTTCCTATTGTGTTGCTGTACTCCAGCTGCTAAAGTGCTCAATGTATTCACTCTTACGGAGTCTTTTTAAAGGAGCACAGTTTATTGTTTTTTCTTATCCGTGTGATGTCTTCTGCGTAGGATCTCCGTGTTGCTCACTCTAAAGCTGCTTGTACAGGCTTGTAGATCTGACCAGCAGAGTGAATTTAGAAACACTGCAGACAAAATCAGCCTTTTTATACATGTCATTGTGTAACAATGTCAATAGCAGCCTGCCTCCCCAGCATTCAGCATCGGCAAGCTCAATTTTGAATGAACTCATCCACCCTCACGCAAACGTTGTTCAGCCAACCAGAAGAGAGCTTATTGTGTTTTCCTGTGCTATGGAAATCTTGTGAATGCAGACTCAGATGTCTTACGCAGAAACATTTTATTCAGCTATCATAATATCAAGCAGAATGAGCACGCCCAAACAGGCTGTGAAGGTGTATTGTTTCCCAGCGAAGAAGCTTATTCCCTATCAGGGCATCTACTACTACTACTCATAAATCTACTAATTCAGCACACTTGCCACTTCAGTCACACTCAGCTTCGGCTAATCTCAGAAGCTATGGGTCATTTTGTTCTTTGGGAAAACATTCTTTAAATCCAATCTTTCGTAAATGCTTCATGAGTGCTTCAGTGTTAATCCTGCTCACTTCCTGCATTATATTTCGGAACATTTCTGCACTTTGGCAGCTTTTCTTTCACTGAATGAGGCAGAGAGCTTATAAAGTGCAGGCTGAATAGGACACAGATTTGCACTACCTTTAAAGCCATTATTTACAAAAGTTTCATAAGTAGTAACTCGCTTTTTTAGTGCAATATGTCCATGGAATTTATTGATAATAAAAGAAGCATTTGAGTGAATCTCTGCTTCCAAGTTATTAATAAGGGCACAAGAAAAACTAATTGTCATTCTACTGCAGTCATAGGATTCATATTGATATAAAAGAACACAGATATATACCTGCTTTCACCAACAGGAAACAAACAACTCCAATTTATTCTTTCATTTTCTAAATGCAGTTTTTGGCCACAACTGGGAATAAATTTCACCGTATCATCTTCAGCATAAGGTTGTCCCTGTTAACTAGATCATTGTATGATTCATGCTTTTGTGTCCATTGCCAGGTTGGCTGCAAAGCAGTGATTGTGTTTTTCCAGTACTGTATAATGGCCAGTTTCTTCTGGCTGCTGGTGGAAGGCCTTTATCTCCATGCATTGTTGGCCGTTTCCTTCTTCTCCGAGAGGAAGTACTTCTGGGCTTATATTCTGATCGGCTGGGGTGAGAAAGTCTTGTTTCTTGTTCTATTAGCGAGACCTTATAGAGTGTCAGCAGTACATGAACTAGCTGGAATCCACAGTAACATTTGGTGGTATACTTTTTTTTGCCCCCAGGCGGTCCAGCAATTTTCATCACAGCTTGGAGCATCGCTAAAGCCAACTATAATGATGTGGGGTGAGAGACTAGGGAACTGCTAGACCAGAATCGAGCAGAAAATACTCTTTTGTGTTGTTTTGTTTTTGTTTTGTTTTTTTTGGGGGGGGGGGGGGGGGGGGGGGGGTTGCTTTGTTTTGCTACATCTTATACATTAAAACTCTTTCACGTCTTACCAGGTGCTGGGATATAATAGAAAACACCGATGTGTTCTGGTGGATCATTAAAACTCCTATTTTGGCATCAATTCTGGTAAGTTCATGAGCTTTAAAAACATTTTCATGGTTTATATCAGCACTAGCCAGCTTGAGCTAGCTCTTTCAAAGTAAATGGCACTAAGAGTGGAAAAGTTGTCTTCATTCGTCTATTCTGAGTGACACAAAGACTGAAAAAAGCACTAGAAAACAACAAAAACCTATCTCTAGTTAAGCTGCACGCAATCCAAGATATATACAGATGTACTGGTAAAAGTATTCTCTTGCTATCCAAATCATTGAATTCAGATGTTCCAATCACTTCCATGGCCACAAGTGTATAAAAGATCTAGTCATGCAGACTGCTTGTACAAACATTTAGGAAAGAATGGGATGCTCTCAGGAGCTTTGTGAATTCCAGCGTGGTACTGTAATAGGATGCCACCTGTGCAACAAGTCCAGTTGTGAAATCCCCTCATTACTAAATATTCCACAGTCAACTGTTAGTGGTACTATAACAAAGCCATGAAGTGGTAGGCCACGTACAAATCACAGAGCGGTGAACTGTGCACCTCAGTTCACAGAACTCGCCAACTACAGATATCCAAACTTCATGTGACCTTCCGATTATCTCAGGAACAGTGCATAAAGAGCTTGATGGAATGGGTTTCCATGACAGAGCTGCTGCATCCAAGCCTTACATCACACAGTGCAAAACAGTGTTGTATGCAGTAGTGTAAAGCACGCTGCCACTAAACTCTAGAGCAGTGGAGATGTGTTCTCTGGAGTGACAAATCAGGCTTCTCTGTTTGGGCAATCTGATAGATGAATATGGGTTTGGCAGTTGACAGGATAACGGTACTTGTCCTATACACTGTGCCAAGTGTAAAATTTGATGGAGGGGGGATTATGGTGTGGGATGTTTAATCAGGAGCTGGATCTGCCCCTTAGTTCCAATGAAAGGAACTCTTAATGTTTCAGCATACCAAGACATTTTGGACAATTTACAGCTCCCAACTTTGTGGGAACAGTATAGCAGTATGCCACTTCCTGTTCCAACATGACTGTGCACCAGTGCCCAAAGTAAGCTCCATAAAGACACGGATGAGAGAGTTTGGTGTGGAAGATCTTGACTGGCCTGCATAGAGTCCTGATAACAACCTAGCAGAACACTTTTGTGATGAATTAGACTGGAGACTACAAGCCAGGCCTTCTCGTCCAACATCAGTGTCTGACCTCACAGATGCACTTGTGGAAGAATGGTCAAAAATTCCCATCAACACATAAAGCCTTCCAAGAAGAGTGGAAGCTGTAATAGCTGAAAAGGGTGGGATGACATCATATTAAACCCAATGAATTAAGAATGGGATGTCACTTAAGTTCATGTCCTTGTGAAGGCAGACAAGCGAATATATTTGGCAGTATAGTGTAGAAACAAGTTATAGTATTATGCGACAAAAGGACTCCAGAAGGAAATAGTGTCCAGTCAAACCAATAATTTAATCCATCATACTCAGTAAAACCACAGATATGGACTTTTACACTGTGGTTCTGTGCTCGTATTCAAGTCTTTGATGAAATTCAGACAGAAATAAGCTGTTAAAAGCAGCTGCTTGCCTCATTTTTAAGTCACAGTTTCAAAGTCAAGATAACAGGCTGCTGGAAAAAAGTTTAATATTTAGCATGCAAATTTGAAAGCAGAAAGGTAATTTAAAAAATGAGTTTTTCTCCAGTGCACGGATCAAAACCCCAAAAGATAAAAATGCTAAAGTGTGACAGCTCAGATGCAAATTGAACCGCATCTCTAGTAAGAAAAACAGACTCTAATCTCTGCGTGAGTGAGACTATTTCAGAGGAGTGCAAAGCGTTCAGCGGATCCCATTGAAATACTTCTTCCTTCCTTCTCTTAAATGTACTAATGTGCACCCTCATTGATGTTTTATTTTGCAGGTCTGTAATTTCCTAACCATTTTTTTGTTCAAATAAAAGTTTACAACAGTGCACAAGAGAGGTGAAGAAGAGAGTGCAGGCAGGGTGAAAAGACTTGTGTCAAGGGTGATTTGTGACAGAAGGATAGCAGCAACAGTGAAAGGGAAGCAGAGAGTGGGGAACAAGATGGTAGTGAGACCTGCTATGATGTATGGTTTGGAGATGTGGCAATGACAAAAAGACAGGAGGCTGAGCTGGAGGTGGCAGATCTTGAGATTTTTATTAGGAGTGACCAGGAGGGACAGGATTGGAAATGAGTACATCAGAGAGACAGCTTAGGTCTGGACATGTGCAGAGGAGGGATAGTGGATATACTGGACAAAGGATGTTGAATATGGAGCTGCCAGGCAGGAGGGAAATAGTAAGACCATAAAGAGTGTTGAGTGAAATAGAGACCGATGATCTGTGGCGATGAGCAGTTGCAGTTGCAGTAAAAATAAATGCTTAGAGACATATGCAATAGAGAAACATTGCCAAGCTCATGTGTCCATTTGAACACAATAAAATTAAAGCTGCATGTTAGTGAACACTGGTAGCTTCACACAGTGTTAGTTAGCATTTACACAACCCAACACATGCTAGTACTCGGGTTTTTCTTTTTGCTAATACAAACTTTGTGCTTGAATTTCATTTAAATGGTTTAACTTTACTACTTGAACACTTGTTTTGGTCTATAGTATGCTAATACTCAAAAGTGGCCCACTTTTTAGAAGCCTGCCTATAGCTTTACTCGAGCATTAAGCTAATTTAACGATACCAGAAACATTATAAAAGTTGAAAAGAAGAACAGACTCTGGCTAACAGCATGCAAAAACCAGGCCAAAGTCCAAAAATGTACATTTTTCACTTTTAAATTAAGAAAACAGATTTATTTTCTATGATTTTTTAACTTGAAGGTCGTCTAATCTTTAAGTTGTTGTTGTTTAGTAATGATGTTGTCGCCATGGTTATGAGATTTCTAGTAACTGGCATAACATATGTGTGTTGTCACATTACCTATTTGGTCACTCGTGAAGTGACCTGAAGTGAACTTAGCATCTTATCAGCTTTCTTAATGGAAGTAATCGCTATAGTAACAAACACTGGAAATATTGTCCGGTTGCTCCTGATTACGTCATTTCTTGGCCATTTTTGTGCAGCTGGGGTCCACAGCCTACGTCTTTTTGTGTTCTGCGTCACATTTATAGAAAATCTAGCGGATGCTTTTTGAACCTTTTGCAAAGAACCAGCTGTTTTCTGTGTTTAAATATTTGTGGTTAGCTAAATCATGAGTGGTACTGATCTTCTCATGGAAGGCGAAAAAAAAAAGAAGCTTTTAATATAATTTCCAGCTATTAAAAGCTTGCTCTGGACAAAGTGTCATAGCAGACGCCTACTAGTGTCCAAATGGGTCTGTTTAGTTATTTGCTAGCAGTTGTTCCCAGAGGAGGGTCAGCTTCATTATTTAACATGAGTGTCAGCGGCCTTACTGTTAGTACACTCTGTTTTTCTGTACTTAGCCAGTGACTGATAGCTGGGAGTGCATCATGATGACTGATGTGTTGCAAGTTCACACTCACAGCCCAAATCATCAGTTTAGAAATGCTCATTTTCCCACAGGCCAGCGCCACAATCCAACGCTTCTGTTTATGAGTTGAATCTCACAAACATCTCCCTATATGCATTAGATGCAGTGTGAAATGCCTCAGTGCTTTTCTCACATGACTTTTGTAATGTATTCTCCACAGATGAACTTTATTCTTTTCATCTGCATCATTCGGATACTTCGCCAGAAGATAAACTGCCCCGATATTGGAAGAAACGACTCCAACCAGTACTCGTGAGTGTAATTAAATTTCTTTTTCATGCTGGAAGTTTGTTTTGTGTATCAGCTAATAAAGGATGAAATGTCACTGATACGAACGAGGGTGTTTGGAAAGAGCTCCGCCACTTCTGTCTCGGTGGACATTCTGTGAACATTAGCTGCTTTTGTAAGGATAAACAAAGATTCGTTTGAATAAACTTGCAGAGCAGCAGAGTAGCACGCACTCCTGAGTATTCTTTCTGTAACTATTGCTGCAAATGTAACTTTTTTTACGCTCAGAGCGATGCAGGGATAACTAGTCCTTTTGGATTTCAGAAAAGAAAATCTTAGCATGCACAGCACACTGTGGTTTTCCACCATCCAGCAGCTGCTTTACACAGAGATGTAGTGCTATATGTATTTAAGTGGTTTTTCATATGATGGAGAGCATCTCATAAGCCAGTCATAATGCATGAGCTATTTTCCAACTGACACTTTTCATGGTGTTTTTTTCCCCCCCCCTCCGTCTCTGGTCTGCTGAGCTGAAATTTAAAATGAAAAGTACTCCTGAGCTGCATTTCATTATTGGGGTATACAGAGACAGATTGGATGCTGGTTTGACTGGAGGGAGGGATTTGAATTTGTTTTTGCCTTATCATTTCAGGCGACTGGCAAAGTCAACGCTGCTTTTGATTCCGCTGTTTGGGATCAATTATATAGTGTTTGCATTTATCCCCGAGCAAGTGAAGACTGAGCTGCGGCTGGTTTTTGACTTGATTCTGGGATCATTTCAGGTATGAGATCAAATGTTTTTGAGGAAAAAGTGATTGTTAAAAAAATACCTGTAGATTCCTAAAATCCAGTGCCTTAAAATAAATGTAGTCTTCTAGAAGTGTGGTCACTTAAACTTTTAAAAAGTCCAAAAATAGTGATTTGGCATGCTTTCAGCCCTGAACTAGCGAGTGCTACTATTAAAGAAAACTGCATCAGGTCTCCAAGCACTTTGCTGGCTGGCTCAGTGGCACTGTCACTGTTTAAAGCTCTGATGTTATTTCAGTTCATCATTTAATAAGGAATGATGGAGAATGCAGCCAGACAGCACAGCTGCATTACAACAGCTTGGAAGATATGGAAACCTTTCCAACACAATCCTCTCCTTACTCCTTTTATTCCCCCTTCTTATTACAACTCGACTCCCATTTGTTTTGTCTGTGTAATACATTTATGACTGTCATGACTGCCACATGTTATTTTTTACAGCTTTTCCTCTGTTGCTTTGGCTTAATTAAGACAGTTAAAGCTGTAAGAAGGTATTTGGAAAACAAACACAAGTGTCTACAATCTTTATAACCAAGAGAGATTAAGTCTTCTTCATGAGTTAAATAGTTGTGCTCACCAACTACTTTGTTAGGTACTCGTTGCTAATACTGGACTGATCCCCCTTTTGCATTCGGAACTGACTTGATTCTCCGTGGCACAGAGTTCCTCAGAGATTTTGGGCAATATTGACATGACAGCATCAAACAGTTGCTGCAGATTTGTTGGCTGCACATCCATGATGTGAATCTCCAGTTCCACTACAACCCAAATTGAGATGGGGTGACTGTGGCGGCCATTTGGGTACAGTGAATTTGGCTAATAAAATATCCCCAAACACCATTACACCACCATCACCAGCAGTCTGGTCTCTCGATACAAGGTAATCCAGATTCATGCTTTCATTTTGGTAACACCAGCCTACCACGTTTTTCCAATCTTCTGTTGTCCAATTTCCCTGAGCCCGTGAGAATTGTTGCCTCCTTGTCTTAGCTGACACAAGTGGCACATAATGTGGTCTTGTGCTGTTGAAGCCCAGCTGTTACAAGGTTCAGTGTGTTGTACCTTTAAGCCCCTTTTCCATTAGTACCTACTACTAGTAGTCAGATCATCAAACCCATTTCCCATTAGGTCATAGTACCTGGTACAGGTACTTTCTTAGTACCTGCTTGCCCGGGTTTCCAAGCGATCCGAGCATGTGCTAAAATGTGACATTGTCAGACTGCATGCACATCACAAAGGAGTGTGGAATTTCTCGGGACTTGGATCAGCTAATGTCACATACTGTCCAGTTAGCTAACAGCTGAGGGCCATTAGTAGGAGTGTTGTAAAACACATTTACTGAGCTTTAGCGCACCAACGTGTCACCAGTTTGAAAACAAGGAAGAGCCCACTCAGATACACCGAGGAATCGGACTGGACATTGAAGAGAGAAAGGAGTAAGGAGGTGGGAGGGAAAGATGACGTAAAAAAAAAAGTGTAGTGAAAGTTTGTGGATTATACAGGGGTTTCTCGCTTCTTACACTGCAAGGGAGAGCATTAACCGTGAGGTGCATGAGAATAGGGAGAGCGAGGGAAGTCCAGTGAATCATACAAGTTAAAATCATGTCTTGTTGAATCTCTCAGATAATAATAACAGTTCCACAGAGTAGGTATTCAGATTTGCTAAAAACACGGGGAAACCATCCTTAGTGCTAAGATCTTAAAAAGGATGCCTCTGGAACTGAGAAAAACTGTAAAAATAACAAATAATTGATAAGACGAGATGATCAAAGAAGAAATTTAACCATTACATCCTCTGCTCCTGCTTTCTTATCAGTGTTTTTCTTTCCTTTTAGGGCTTTGTGGTCGCAGTCCTTTACTGCTTCCTGAACGGAGAGGTAGGTGATGTAAACACTGCTGATATAAACACACCACAGTACTTCCACACAGAGATAGCCTGCAGTCGTGCTCTCATTCTCAGAAAATGTAGTTTATCTGTAGTTTCTCCGTCGCTCCCTGTGCGCACCATTTACATTCACACACAGTCCTGACAGGTAGATGGAGCGGCGGGTATGAGTCACCGGCACTTGTCGTTCCAGCTCCTCTCTTGGACCTCCCCACAGCATATTTTCTGCACTTTGCCTGCAGGGTGGGAGGGCTGTAAAAAGCACACAGTCTTTTTGGCAGGGAGCTATTCAGTGATGTCTGCACAGGCTCTCTGTGGGCAGATTATTTATGTTCTCAGTGCTGGGCCAGATTGAATCTGGGCTAGATGGCGAGGCTTCACACTATGCTGCCTGAATTTTAATCTCATGCAACTTCCAGGTGTCCTTTACTAAGTGTGGAAGATTTGTGCACTGCTGGTAAGATATGTTAGGTTTAGTTGTTGAATTCTCGGTGCTTAAGGAATGGCAGACATGTCGATAGCAAGAAAACAAATATTGACAAGGTAGAAGTGGAAGAAAATGACTGAAGAAAAAGCTATATTGATTTTCTTTTTGCCTAAATAATGCAAAACAGTTTTTAAAGTGTCATACTCTCGTAAAATTCATGCAAAAGAAAAAACTGCTGGACTCGATTGCGAGGCAGGACTGTCTTTAAAAAAGAAGATACGTGGGTCCAAATGAGGGGTTGAGGATTTTCTGGAGAAGCCGGTGGAGAGTGTGCAGCCAGGTTTACTTAACAAGGAGTTGGCCGAACAAAGTGACGCAAGCTGGTAGAGCACAAGGAAGGACCTAGACTCTAGGTCCTAGAGAAATAAATGTGAAGCCTAAGTGTTCTTATTGCTGCTGCCGATGAAAGCACATGATGGCGAGTGTGTGTGTGGATGACTGTGTGTGGGAGGGGCGGGTTGATTAGTCGATGAGTGTCAGGTGTGCCAGCCAGAGTCCAGTGGGAGCTGGAGCAGTGCCGCATAAACAGGGAAACATATGCACACGCACATACTCAGAGAGTGAAGGGAGACCTTGGAGATGCACGCACTATTTGGGGGAAAAAATGAATGTAGTCTAATCCAGTAATAGAAGTGTACAGTGTGCAGAATAACACAAACACCTGGCACAGCCCCTTAACCTGTAATACATGACACAAAAAAGCAACAAATTTCCAAAACCTGCAACTGACTGTAGATAATGTTCCAACATAAGCAAATATCTGCAAAAAAACAACAAAAAAGGCACATTTAAAAATATTCAATCCTCCAGCAGAAGGTTTGGTTCACTTTCCTCCCTCTGACATGGTCTAAATGAAAACTAATGTCAGTGTCGGGTACTGCTTTTAATGGCGCGCCACCTCAGCGCTGGCGGCGTTTAATTCTGTGGATTTTCTCTGGGTGCTTTTCATTTTTTCCCCTCCGTCCTTGAGCTTCGTCTGCTGCTGAAAATCACGCCAACCAATTTGTTTTTCTGTTTAATTAAAATGCAGGTCACCCGCTTTTAAGAGAGCTGCAGTTTTTATAGTCGATTATTCAAAATCTTCTAAATTGTCCAAATTTGTTGTATGAAATAAATTCAAGTAAAACACTTGGAGAATGACAGAGGTGTGTAGGGAGTAACAGCAGGGCCTGTCCACATGTACACGGGTATTTTGGAAAGCATTTGGCAGCATTTTGTCCTTTTGTTAACATATAAACTCTGTTTTTGGTCAGAGGTGTCAAAAACATTATCAGTGAATTCCCAGTAATGTTTTATGTTGGTAAAGAACATGTAGCTCTACTTACTGAATAAACATGTAATTGTCCCTTTTGCTCTAATCGGTTTCAGGTCCAAGGAGAGATCAAGAGGAAGTGGAGGAGGTGGCACCTGCAGAGATACATGGGCTCAGACACCAAATACCAGCACCCGTCTATTGGCAGCAGCAACAACTTCAACACCCAGATCACCATGTTGACACGGTGCAGCCCGAAAACTCGCCGGGCTTCATTATCCTGTCACGATGACTTGTCTAGCATCTGAGTCACAGTGACACAGACACACAAAATGCTGTACAAAATGCTCTCATGCCAAACATTAGGCAGAACATCGCAGCATATATAAGCTTTACCATAAGTACTCTTGGGTCATGTGTGTGGTGCAGAAGATGGAAAGTGATGAAAGGATTGGAAAAAGAGATATAAGGACACGACGTGACCATAATCAGCTTTGAAGCAGTTTGTAACTGTTCCAAAAAATACATTTAAATGAGAAGGTAAGTTGCACATTGCTTAACAAACAAAGCGTTTGCGGAGAGAGTCATTTTTGCGCAGGTCACCTGTACAGGTGAATTCAAGTCATATCACTACAGCTCTTATTTTTTAAATATCCTGTGTGCTTAGGTGAGTGGGCTGGTGTAACTCTGAGCCTTGTGCACTCCTGCAGCTCCAAATAGTCAAGTTTTGTGCTAAAGCTTTGGAAGAAATTGAGGTGATGTATTTTTCTAACAGCAGCATCACAGGCTAACAAAGGTACTATACCAGAACTGGACTGTGAGGGTGTGTTTGAGTGCTGAATGTAAATAGTGCTGGAAAATTTGCTTTAAAACATACTTTAGAGTATCCAAAATAAGCATAATACTACACTTCCCCCCCTTTGCTGTGTAGGAAGACAGAAAAAAAGACAGGCTTACAGAGCAGGAAACTTTATTTCCATAAATGCCAAACAGATTAGGCTTCAGACCAAGTGATGCTGATTCACAATGATGGGTTTGGAGCACAAATGCCCTTCTCTGCACTATCATGCTCATGAGAGACCGGTTGCCCTTTGCCTTCTTTTATCAACACAGCCTTCCCTCTTGGCGTGTGCGATTCTGAGCCTATGATTAGGTAGATATTTTTCATTATTTAGGGCACTGTGGCGGTTTTGTGTCGATCACTGACGAGTGCCTGGGTTTGGTGTGTTGAACCGACTTCTGCGGTCTAGTCTTTGCTGGCTGTTGGGCAGTACAGCAGCTCTGAAGAGGAGATGTCCATATGCAGCTCATTCCTTGAATGTTTACATTTACTTGGGAAGAGTTGTAAAAAATGATGCACAGTCAAGTGTGCAGTGTAAATAAACTTGGAATGCTTGTGCCATACACATCACATTGTGGTTATAATAATAGTAATGAATCACTAAGTGTCGTTTTTTCAAATTAAAGCATGACAGGATTCAGAATCTTCTGAATCTCCATTATGCATAATATTGTTTGAATTCTTCAGGTTCAGACTTACTTCTCCATCGGAGGAGTCTGAACTTGACAAGTCAGCAGAGAATATTAGATCCTGTATGCAAAGCAAAGTGACAAGGATGACTGGCCCTGTCACAACGATGCTGTCTTTGTGCTTTTGACCTCGCGTAGGTTTGAAAGTAAGGCTTGTTCATACTAGAGGGAACAACAGGGGGATCCAGCTTTACACGGGAGGAAGGAAATCATCTCAACCCACCAGTGATTTAAAGGTTTAGATCATCATTAAGTTTAAGAATAATAAAAAAATTCTAATGTGGTAATATGTGTCAAGGAAATATTGAATATCAATATATCGCCTTCAGATTGCTGAAAGTAATAATTATACATTTAGAGAAAAGGAAAAAGATTGGAACCACTTTCATATTGTGGTCAGAAGTTTACATACACTCATCATGCAGGTGAATGACATGCTAATTTTGCAGCGACTTCTTTCTTGATCAGCACTTCACTGTGGACAGTGACACTTAATCCTTGGCGGTTCCTGCCTTGTTCCTGAACATCTAACCAATTTGCTCTCATCTAAGGGTGACATTTTCAGTCTTCTTCTAGACCAGGGGTGGGCAATCTCAGTCCATGAGGGCCGGTGTCTCTGCAGGTTTTAGATGTGTCCTCGAACCAACACAGCTGATTTAAATGGCTAAATTAGCTCCTCAACATTTCAGTGTAACAGTGTAATTTAGTTAGACTGCGTTTTTAGTTCTGAGTTACATGATGACCAGATCACATAATGCATGAACCCTAGGAATTCCAAATAGTTCACAAACATTACTGACTCTAGCTTCATATTTAGTGTGCACACATGAGTCAATTTAAGTCGCAGGATTAAGGCAAATAGACACATTTGCCAAAAAGCACCAAATCACAACAACAGTCACCTCAAGTTGCCTGATATTGCAACTTATAGACCATGCAGAGAAATCCCCAACAATCAAGCGACTGCCTACAAGTGACCATTTGGTGACAGTGGGAAGAAAAAAACCCTTTTAACAGGAAGAAACCTCCGACAGAACCACACTTGGGGAGGGCCAGCCAGGACAAAAGGCACATTGCGGAAGAGAATCAGAGATTAAAATGTCATTTTTCACGTTGCTTATAAGTGTGTGCTTAAATACTCCTACATTTTTTGCGTCTGTCTTTTGTCGTCAGTAACTTTAGTGTAATTTTGTGAATTTTCCAGTATACCTCTTAAAATGGTGAATGTAAATAGATGTGTACAAAGTGGGAAAGCAATTATATTAGACAGTGTTTCTCAAATTCAGTCACATATGTCTCTTGGTTGATTGTTTTGGTTACCAAACATTAAAAAGGGATAATATATATATATAAGAGTGCACTTAGAGTAACTATGTGCAATGTAAATCTGATTTTTTGTTAACTGGATAATGTGTTGTGCATATCTGGGTTTAAGATCATTTGTTTGGTTTGCTGTTGTGCGGTTTGTGTAAGACTGGTGTAAAGCATTACATTGTAAATCTGCAGTTGTACAATTTGGTCACATCTGTGTACACATAAAGCCATGCTTTCCTTTTAAAAACGGCTCAATGTGCTAATTAATTTTGCCATTTTAATGTGTAACTTTAAAGGTGTTATATTAGCATAAAACTTACTTTACCAAAAAACCTTTCTCCTCGTGTATTGTATGAAATAAATTATTCAGAAACACACGAGAAAGTGGAAGTCTAGTATCCCTTTGTAAAGTTCCTCTGTGCTTCAGTATTGTTTTAAATTCCTATACCTTTAACGTAAAATGAGCTTTTTTTGTGAAAGATATCCTATACCATGCTTTTGTTACCAAAGTAAGGCTTATTTTCACAAGGGCTTTTGGCTACTCAACAAAGGCTCGGCTTTAACCTCCTAGGACCTGGCGTCCACATATGTGGACATCACATTTTGGGTTATTTAGACTAAAATACTCAATTTTGCTCTACATGGGCCTGATATCCACTTACGAGGACATTATACTGCTACTGTTCTATCAAAATTTTAAACCAATATCCTCATTTTTCTTAAAAACATAAATAATGTATAAAAAAAAAATTTGGTCATTCCTTTTTTTTAACATTCATCGGGCCCAATATGCCCAAATATCAAAGAGAAATTAGGCGGTTAAGTCACTTATTTCTTTATATAACTCTGAGGAAGACTCACTTAAAGCAAGTTTTTCATGCAAATATGCTAATGCCTGCAATAAGAACAAAAATCTGCCCTCCTTTCCTTGTATATTTAAATATTCACATTTTACACCCATTTCCTCTTTGACCAGCAATTCTGATCATGTTTAGCAAATAAAAATGTGTCTATTTCAGGACAAATTTCAGCTAATATGAGTGCGTAATATCATCACAAGGGAGTACATTCGATTCTTGTGGCAACAGCGTGTTTGTAGCAGACAACCCAATGGGTTGAAAACACTCCCTCTCTGCACCCCACACAAAAGTATTATCCCATTAAATGGCTGTAGTTTTTCCCTTCATTATGTGCCGTTACAGGTCACAGTGCCCTGAGAAGAACAAAATATCTTAAAACTTACACAATACACTTTTTTCCCCTCCCGGGGCTTCAGCTATTCAGTTAAGCAAAGAAAGAATAATCAGATTTACATAAGTGGGCGACATATATTTATATATATATTTAGAGAGTATCTTCCACCAAGGGCGGGCCAGTGGTTTACAATGGAAGAACTCACTGAAATCTCACAAATCTTGAACAATCCTGACAATATAAACTTCTTGACATAAAATAATCATTTATGCCAATAAGATTTGTAAAGACTTGAAGAGTTCAGTTGTTTGACATCTGCGTCATCTTTCCACTGCCTTAAAGATGACAGTAATGGTCCCATGCGTTAGGAGCTAAGCAGAACAAACAGTTAATTATTGCTGGTGGGAAAATGGCTTTAAAATTCATTTTTAGCGTTTCATGTAGAAAATGTATTCATTATGTTTGTAAGATGTTGTTGCTCAATTTGGATACCCGGGTTAGTAGTACATTTCTGCACCTCACAAACATTTACACCTATTAAAGATGACAAAAACGTGAAAAATACAGGAATTTTGCAGAGGTTTGTCTTATGGATTTTGATTTTCTTAATCGAATTAAAACAGCTGATTGGCTAGTGTGTCTGATTTTGTGTTTGTTACATTGTGTTGCAACATCAATGAAATAAAATGCTGCATTAAAAAAATCACTACAATTTGGCCCTCAGAGATATTTTTCTTTAAGTAAAAATATACATATATGAATGAAAGTAAAGATTCGTGCACCTCAAACTGATTTTCAGTATTTGATAGATATGACTGACCCTCAGAGTTTGCTTTTGTGTATAAAACTTCAGCTATTAAAGTTCATCCTTATGTTGTCCCTCATTTTAATTTCTACAATTCACTGACTTGAGTGTGGGGCACCTCGTGCGGAGTTCAGCAACATAAAGAAAAACAAATTCAACAAAGACAAGGCTCTGTGTGCCATAAAAGATTAACAACTACACTGCTTCATGCCCTGTTCCTCTGATCAGCTGCTTTTGGGTCTCATTTTTCATTAGCTCTGTCCATGAAGGCAAATTGAGCTTGCATATAATGTGATTACCAATGCACTGGAAAGGTAGCAAATGTAAATAAATGGATTAACCGGTTTGGAGGATTCTGCATGAAATTCAATGCAGAAAATAAAAAGAAGAACCTTGAGGCTTGTGTGTGATCATCTTTGTACGTTTATGTTTATGCTCTGCTGTTGAATATCGTGCAGTCAGATGAAATGTTTGGACTACTTTTGGTCTAGACTTCGAAATTTGTCAATGTAAGGTCACAGCTGTGAGATTTCATGAAGACAGCGTGGGATGCAGACAAGACAGAAGACGGATGAAGTTATTTTCAGATTCCCTGTGACTCTTAAAATGCGAGACAGGTGTCTTGCCTTTGAGCATCATTCAGTATTCATAGCACTGGTTAAATATTCATGTGACAAATAAGGAGAAGCTTGGAAAGGTGAACGACTGAGCAAACAAGTGAGCTCTGTGAGGCTGTTTTGATCACATCTGCTGATTAAAAGAGACATTGTCTGCCAAATCCAACCTGATCTGTGGCTGAGAGTCAGTAATAAATACTGAAGGTTTGCCTACTTTCCACAGGTAGTGCAAATCTAGGACTGAGTTATTGTACCCCGTGTATGGGATGGCTCCAGTAACTGGCTGTAATTCACAAAAATATACCCACTAACTGATGACAAATGTTAGACTTTCTATGTCATATGAGGAGCAATAGCAGTGATTTGCATATAACAGAGAGTGTTACAATAAACTTTGATTTCTCACCTTGAACTTTATGACCATTTCACACATTAGCATGCCAACCATGACTTCCAACCAATGCATGGTGATTTTAAAGAACACAGTGGCCCTGAACTGACCCGGCTCAATGACCCCCAAAGATATTCTGCCACGTAAACTCCCCAGTAGTTTCCCTCAAGCAGCCACCTCCACACACTTGAGGCAGGACTGAGAAGACTGCCATGTGCACACACAGCAACAAAGCCACTGTGGACAAATCCATGAATTTGAATAGATTTATTTTTATTTACATGGTTGCGTGGAGTGTGGTCTGGGTCTCCGATGCAGAGGAGGGGTGGTGCAGTGGGTTCAGGGGCCAGTGCTGGGGAGGCTGGCTGGGGCTGATCTGGTAATCAGCCTCTCCCTATATCAGGAGGTCACTGATGAGAGAGAAATCACTGTAAATAAAATGTCACCAACCCTTCAATATTGTATACATGACAGGTCCTTTGGTCACAAACACGAAACTTTATTGTCATTTTTTTCAGGTAAATCGCCTAATAAATAACTGTATAGTATTACTTTTAAACAACTTTTTGACAGACATAAAAAAAATAGTGTTTTCTTATTTTTATGACAGGTAGTCTAATAAATCAGTTACAGGTAAATTACTTATGTTGCATAACTGCCCTTACATCATAAATAAAGGCCATTAGGTCACTCTTTTGAAAACTCAATCAGTGCCACCGCCTGACCCCCTCACAACCAGCTGATTCACTATTTATTTATTTAATTAATGTAAAATAACTTTGGCATCTTTAAATAAACCATGAAAACTTACAGCACATATGGGTCAAAATTTTGCATTTTTTGAGTATCTTTGAGTCCTTGTCACTTTAGAAACACAGAAGATATCCACCTGAAATTCGTAAGGAGATGTTCAGTGCTAAAATATCTTATTTTTTTTCCAGCACTGTTGCACTAACATTATAATAATGGGATATATATTAGTTTAAAGCAGGGGTCTCGAACTCCAGGCCGGGCCGGTGTCCTGCAGATTTTAGATCTCACCCTGGGTCAACACACCTGATTCAAATGATTAGTTCATTAGCAGGCCTCTGGAGAACTTCAAGACATGTTGAGGAGGCAATTTAGCCTTTAAATCAGCTGTGTTGGATCAAGGACACCGGCCCTCGAGGCCTGGAGTTCGAGACCCCTGGTTTAAAGTAAACCTCCACCAGTGTGATGTCAAAATGCTGATTTAATGCTAAAAGTGCATTTTGTGTAAACTTATATCATCATGTGGGATACTAAGTGGTCGGTCAAAACAAGTTGCAGCACATGAAGGGACTCTTTTCATCTACATTTTGAAACCAGGCTCTATAACATAGAGTAACAGAAACAAGCAGATCGATCACTGAGGTCAAAGTTCAGTTTGCAACCTCTGACACCTGTAATGTGAGGTATAGGATGTCATTTTTCCTTTTGATCTCTATGGCTGCCGAGCTGCTCTTTCATCTTGCTTTTAAAAAAATAAATGCTCAGCTATGATTAAATCACACCCCAGTTAATTAGAATGAAACACATGTGCTCATATTCAGTATACATACAGTGATTTATCACCACCAGCACATTTGCCTGGTTGGGCATGAATCATGCCTAACCAGGCAGGGTGTAAACAAGCTTGGGAAATTACACCACACATTTATACAATCACGGGAAGCTTGATCTCACGTATGAAATGAATGCACAATTCATCAATGGAAATTATTACTCACATAGCATTTAAAGTCTTGTCTGGGTCAAGTATTTGTATTGTTTGAAAGTTCTTGTGCCTTCATGTGGATTTTCTTTGCAGCTAAATCAATTTAATTAACTCTTAACGCACAACTGTATCCAAAAATAGGTTTTTCTTGCATTATCAGATTTAGATTTAAAAGCCCTGCAGCAATGTCGTGAATCCACCAAACGTCCAACTTCAAATTAAAAAAAAGAAACTAAAGAAAAAACTAAAACACCTGTTTAAAAAGCAGACTGTGTTTTGAAATAATGACTTTTCATCTGATTGCTTTTCTAATGTTCATTTGCAGCAGCTTTGTAGATAGCTCACACAGGAGCGGTTAGTGTGGGACTGATAGAAGAGCCAATTTCTGTCTATCTCTGTGTTCTTATAAAAGGACAGGAGGTGGATGAAAGCAAAAAGAGTAAAGTAATGGGATTATGGGGGGTATTTTTTTAAAAGGCTTTACATCAACACCAGAAAAGGGCAA